GAATCGAGCCAATACCTCAAAATCCCTTCCCACCTCCCCATAGTCACTGCCCCAAGTAAACACTGTCCTGACCTGTGTGCTGATTGCTCTCGTGCACCTCGTAAGTACTCTGTTCTGTCTTTTTTTTTTTTTAAACTTTATAGAAATGGACTCGTAGCATCTATTCTTTGATGTTTGCTGTTTACACATATGATTCATCCGCATTGTTGTGAGTAGCAGTTGTTCATTGCTGTCGGGCAGTCCAGCCTGTAGCTGAATCCCAGTTTGTTTTTCTATTGATAACATTTGGATTGTTTCCAGTTTGGAGGTGTTATTAATGAAGCTATCAAGAACATTCTAGTGTATGTCTCTTGAGAATATGTGCACATTTCTGTTGGATGTATATGTGAGAGAGACACTTGATCGGTTGCCTCCCACACACACCCCGACTGGGACTGGGGATCGAACCCACAACCCAGTGTGAACCAGCCATCTTCCACATTGATTTTCAGCATTCCAAGAAACCTGACTTAATGAGGAGGCGTTATCTCTACAAGTGAAATTGTTGGCTCATAGGGTGTGCATGCCTCCAATTTCAGTAAATAATGCCACACTATTTTACAACGAGATTGTCCTTTTTTTTTTAATTTCTTTTTTTAAAAAAAATATATTTTTATTCATTTCAGAGAGGATGGGAGAGGGAGAGAGAGATAGAGGTAGAAACATCAGTGATGAGAGAGAATCATTGATCGGCTGCCTCCTGCACACCCCCTACTGCGGATCGAGCCCACAACCCAGGCATGTGCCCTTGGCCAGAATTGAACCTGGGACCTTTCAGTCCGCAGGCTGACGCTCTATCCACTGGGCCAAGTCAGCTAGGGCTATATGCTTTTGCTCTTATAAAAATACCTCAGTTGGTGTCTTTCTTCATAAGTTAATAGGCACTCAGTGAGAAAAAAGTGATTTTATTGTTTACAAAAGTACACTTGCTCACTGAAGAAATATCTGTTAAATACAGTAAATACAAAAGAAATAGCCAAAACCGGTTTGGCTCAGTGGATAGAGCGTTGGCCTGCGGACTGAAGGGTCCCAGGTTCGATTCCGGTCAAGGGCATGTACCTGGGTTGCGGGCACATCCCCAGTGGGCGATGTGCAGGGCAGCTGGTCCAGTGGGGGATGTGCAGGAGGCAGCTGATCGATGTTTCTCTCTCATCGATGTTTCTAACTCTCTACTCTCCCCCCTTCTCTCTAAAAAAAAATCAATAAAATATATTAAAAAAAAAAAGAAAGAAAGAAATCCCAGGATCCTGCCTGTCAGGGAGAAAAATTACTCTTTATGTACAGCGAGTCCTCACTTAACATCGTCGTTAGGGTCTGTGACGTTAAGTGAAACAACATAAAAGAAACGGGCTTTACCACAGGCCAATGGATATAAGCAAGAGTGCCGTTCTGCATGGCTCAGTGTCACGATGAAATGCTGTTTCGTGGATGTAGCCCTTTGGTTTGTTTGTTTCTTGATGTTAAATCAATTATGATTTTGGAAAACCACCTGCTTTTGTACATACTCAGTTTAAACCTTTTTTTTTTAAATGATTTATTTTCTGTAGTTGAAGGTCAAGGGTATTTAACATATTACGTTATGATGTGGCTCTTATTAACCCTTCAGTAATGTAGGTAGGCAGCTGTGTTATTTTACATTTTCTTACAAGGCTACTGTCACCCCCAGAAATGTTATTTAATTTTTCAGGACAGTATAATTATAGCTCTTTTAAAGTTCTACTTACTAAAATGTTACATTTTAAAGTCAATAACTGTCTGAAGCATTTAATTGACTATAGTTCTTCCCATTTACCTTCTGCTCTTATGAATTCAGTTCACAAAAGTCAGTTGCACTTAAAGTGTTTTACCTTAGTGATAGGAATAGTGTTTTTCTCAGTGGAAAATTTAATAGCAAGTTATAAATGGTTGCTTTTTTCATTCTGTTTCTAACAGAAAAATGCTTTTAACCATCTTTTTACCGTAATGGTTTGATAGTGTGGGATGTTGAGAGCAGACTACGGCCATTCTAGTTCATGTCCCATTGCAGACCCCGACTTTAATCACTTAAGTTCCCTTCAGCCAAGCCGGCCTGCATTAGAAGACCTGTGACTCTAGTCCAAGTACTTTTTGAAGAGATTATGATAGTTCCAATATTTGTTAGATCGCATCATTGAGAGGAAAAAAAATACACATAATGTTGTTGGCTGAATGAACTTGTAGTAACAGTTCTCCGGCTGCAGACCCTACAGCAGAATAAGCGTGTGTAGCTGGTAGCTGGTTGTCAGCCTGTGGTCTCTCCTTTCAGCTTCAACATCGCTTTGTGGCCCGTGTGGTCGTTTTTCACTCCGCTGCTGCTGTTCACCCAGTTCATGGGCCTTGTGATGTTCATCTCGCTCCTCGGGTGATTCCCGCAGGTAAGCTCGGGAATGGTCGCGCTCTTACTGCTCTCATCTGGAGAACATCTTTCACAACAGTTTCAGGTGACCTCCTGTGATTTGGTGCATTTGTGTTCACACTGGCTGTTTTCT